AAGAAGTGAAGGAAAAGGTCAAGTTTTGCTACTTTTTACATAGATGTTTACTTAAAAAACATATTGGAACGTTCTGGAACTGAACAGTCTGTTTTTGTCCCATACTCTTTCCATTTCCAGACAATACTTGAAACATTTTCATGAGTTGTCAAAGGCTTAGCAAGTTGCATTTAACCATGCTTTTAATATCTTTACAACATTATCCCTGACTTGTCTGATCTCTTATTTGGACTTCAAGACGCTCTGTAACAGACCTCTTCAAAAAAAAATTGTAGTTTGAGGCTGAAACCTGCAAAAGTTCACGAGTCATGAGTACTTTTGAACGGCACAATATAGACAATGTAAATTGAATGCGCTGCTTCCATTGTACCAGTCATTTGGTGCAACAATAATCATAAGGTTATAATTTAAAAACATTTTGCCTTTCTTTTCTCTCACTGTGGAGAATCCCGGCTGCAAACCTGCTGCTAAAGACACAGCAGTGAAGCATGCGGCTCATGAGTTATCTGCCAGCAGCTGGGACGAGTGAGGGGCAGCTGCAGTCGGAAAGCTCGCAGCACATGTCTTTCTTTTTGGACAAACCACATACCTTGAAGTCAAAGCAGGACTTTCAGCTCATACAGTGATGAACAAATATGTTTTCATTTAGATTTTTCTCAGTGCAGTCATTGACCATTGCTCTGTCCGCCCAGTAACATCAATCTGTGGCTATCTTTTGCTTCACCTCCCATGTCAATGTGGGCTCCCGTGCTAAACATTCCCTTTTGTTCAGAAGCTACACACACGCATACACACACGCATGCACACACACAGGGGCTCTCCAGCTGAAAGTGTCTGGTAAACAAAACGGAGCTCCCTTGCGTCTGCTGGCATCAGCAGTTTGGCTCACAATTGGACTTCCCAGCCAGTGTGCTCGCAGAGGGTGGCATCACAGGGACTTCTGGAAGATTCTGAATGGAAATTGTAGATCAAGAGCTGGTGGACTAATGTGTTCATTTAGTCAATCAGCAGGTATAATCAATCTTTAATAACCAGTAACTGTTTGTCTCAAGTGTTATACGGCAGGCACATTTTGGGCTGCTCAGAGCTATATTTAGAGAGGGGTCCTGTGAGGCATGTGTGCTGGCATGGAGTGAGAGTAGAGCGTTCTTCACCATTGATGGGGAAGAGAAACATTTAACAACAACCACTCCGATGAGAAACGGCACAAGGGAAAACAACCTGAAATTACATCTACTACTTTTTTGTTTGCAAATATTCTCCTAAATCAACTGGTTCTGAATAGGAATATCAGCCCATTTGTTCATATTCACACAAACGAATCCTGAAATCTATTTACACACCCAACACATACAACCTGCAGCATAACTCATTCGGGGCTTGCTCACTGCCAAGCGACTTCCAGGAAACAAGTCTGTCGTCATCCATCTCTGGTGGGCTTGAGTCACAAACTCAAGCGTGGATAAGCTGTCACAGGTGTTTTGTGTTGATACAACAGGAGAAAAGTTCACACAATGTAGACAGTGTCACCAAGACCCTAAAGGCAACCTCAACACCTGCTAGCTTTCCTCTCTGTGCCTGATATAATCTAATCCTACAGACATTTGCTGATACATTTGTTTATGCAGACAATTTTACTTAACTCAAATCATAAAATGCTAAACTTGTTGTAAAGGTATTTTTTAATTATGTCAGTTTGAAGATATCAATACTCCAGTGGTGTCACAAAGGGGGAGGGGTGGTTGTCCCAGCTGGGCAGTGTTATATAATTTTTTTTAACTAGGTTTAAGATAGCAGAGTAAATTTTTCAGTAAGTTAGAATAATTATACATGTATTTATATATTTTTGTATTTATTTATTCCGAACGTCTGACTATTGTGATTATGGTTCAATTCCTGACACCACCAACCCAAACGCTCTTCATGTATAAATCATTATCAAATACCAGAAATTAACTCCTGCATTTGGGTTTTGGAGTGCCATGCGAACATTAGCCCAACCTGCCTCCTACCATTTGTCCATATTATTGAAACCTTGTTACATTTTGCCCCAATATTCAGAGAAGAAGCTGTATCAGACCTTCTCACTAAAAAGAAATGAATGTTCAAAAAAAAATTGACATGCTCAATAATTAACTGTAAACAATAAATGTCATCTTGAAACATGCAGACTCTTTATCTTCTTAACCTCAAAAGTGCTTGAATAATTGTCCATCTCCTAATTGAGATTTTTCTATCATTTATTAGCGACTAATGTTGTACTATTAGTTATTTAATTCTATCACATAATAGTGCATGTTTTCCAAAACTTACAAGGTATTTTCCTGAAATTTACAAATTTTAAATTTCTAAAAGTTAGCAAGTACTTTCTGGACATTTCGAACACGTAATGTTTTAGGATCAGTGCAAATTTGTTCTGGAAAGGAAATATTTTGGGAAAGTACCAGGTATCCATCTGAATACTGAGAAGTACCAGGTAGGCTGTTTGCAACCTACCTATTATAACTTTATAAAATCATCATTACAGGGTTCATACTTTATAAAGCATAAACATTATAAAGTTCCTACTTTAATTTTATAACGTAGTGCCATCAAACCTCTTTAAAAAGGAAAAGTTGCAAGATTTCATCCAAACAGAATAAACAATCTACAATAAAAGATTGTTGCAGACAGATCCAGGGAGGTTCTGCTGTGCTTGAGGTTTTTTCTTCCTGCTTAGAGAAGATGTCCATTTAAATAGCTAATTACTTGGTGTAAAAAAAAAATTCTAGAATAATTACGTAAACGTTTTTATTGTTTTTTTTTCTTTTTTACAAAATGCAAGAAAGCCCCAAATAAGAGTGCAACAAACTACCTTTAAATAAAAAAAATACATATTTACATTCATTATAAGCATGAAAACATGCAAATGTATTTATTTATTTTGCTTTTTTAAGCCATGCTCACACTGCACTGAGTCACTCCTTACCGTCAGCGGGCTGAGAGAAGTTCACATAAGCATATCCGAGGGAGCGTCGGGTGATCATGTCTCGGCAGACCCGAATGGAGAGCACCGGTCCGGCGGGGCTGAACTTCTCGTACAGCATAGCCTCCGTTATGTCTGGGTGCAGGTCGCCAACGTAGAGAGAAGCCATCGGATAACTCCCCGTCGCGGTGTTCATTTCTTAAAGAGTTTCCCCCCGAATGCAAATATAGCCTATACGTAATTAGGTGAAATTGTCCCGAAACAGTCAACAACCCGGTTCTTCACCGTACCTCAGTTTCCCCCCCACCGATTATTATAAGAGCTTCCGCAAATCCAGCTTCTTAGGATAAAACCTGGAGAACTTCTTTAAAAATCCCACCTCTGTTTGTACATATTTTTTTAATTTTGCTATTTTTTTTATTTAAAAAAAAGGTTTCTGTTTAAGTAGCTCTGCGTTTGTTTTTATTTAGATTTTGTAGATTTTTATATTTTTTTATGCGTTTTTATTTTAAGTTTTTTTTTTTTTTTTTTCCTATGACGGTGAGTTGGACACTCACGGTCGTTTTGCGGCCGGGGAAAGAGACTGCGTGAGGAAAGCATGGGCACTTTATAGAGAGTAGCGGTGCGGAGGAAATAGTGGTCAGGGTCAAACCTGGGATAGGAAAGACACACAGAGCATGCGCAGTAAAAGGGAGCGTGCACAGTGCGACCGGCCAAAACAGAGCCCAGCTCCCCACAGCGACGCCTTGGTTGGAATACAAACCAAAACTTGATACAGGAAAACCCAGAGGCGAGTTCATTCTGCAAGTGTCATAATACATTAAATATACGGGAAATAACGATTGTTGCTATATAAAAAACAAAAAACAAAACAAAGCTTCGTTTCAAACCTTATATCTAAAATTTCAGTAATTCAAATAGAGAAAATTGTCACATATTTGAAGAGGGTTTTTTTTTGTTGTATTTTTCGCCCCACAATGGCTTATGATGAAATTTCTAGTATTCCAGATGGCATAGATTACATAAAGTTTGGAGCATATGCATTCAGTTCCTTTTGCATGTCTTACAATGCAGGGAATTGTGGATGGTGAGCAGAATGTGACTGAGGTTGTTTTGGCCTTCAGTTGCATTTTCTTAACATCCTATTGGTTCTTCATGGAGCTTTGAATAGGTGTTGGGAAAAGCACGCATCATGCACCAATATTGTGATCATTTGCATCAAGAGTTTCAGTGCATATGGTGTAGCGCTCTACACCCAAATATGCAATTTTACCTGATAAATTCTAATGCCATATTTTCTCTTTTAAAGTTTTAAAAAGGCAAGCTGCATCCTATTCGATTATAGGATGCAGCTTACCAATTACTGGTTGAAATTAGGTTGCATGTGCATTATTCTGCTGTGCCCATCTAAGTGTTTTTGGCATCATGTGAAATACCTCAATTCAGTAATCAAGCCAATGAGACGCCAAGACTTCTTTTCCTTGCATAACTGTCTTGCAGCCATCTTTGGCTGCATTTTCATCATTTATTTTGTAGCAAGGATCATTTAAAGCTGGTCATTCTAATATAGTCTGCTCATATTATGCAATTACATTGATTTCTAATCAGTCTCAATATGAACAGGAAGACAGTCTGATTCAGAATATGAGTATTTGTAAAATATATAAACAAAAACTAACCAAAGAAATTAACTGATTTCATCAAACCTTTCTTTGGATCTCATTCCTCATTCTGATCGTACAAAATATGGCTGTTTAAGACATTTTTTAATCAGGGATAACTTCTGCCTGAACCAGCATCAAAAAGAGAAAACATATACACCACACAATACATATAGGCATTGTATGTGTGGCATCGTATAGGCATCGTATATAGGCATTTAGGCATCGTATGTGTGGTTTTTATTCTACTCTATTTTATAGAATAGAATGGAATTAAAACGAATCAAACAGAAAAATTCTTTATCCATGACTATGAGATAGTCTCATCATTTTGACCTGGTCATCTCATCTTATAATTATCTTATATTGTAGTATATTCATAGTTATGTTTATGTCACGTTTGCAGAAATAGGCTTCCATAGCTTCTTAGTTACAAAAAAGTGTAAAACCACCGATCCAGTCAATGTTTTGTCTGTTGTTCTCTCTCCGCACGCAGCTGCAGCGCCGTTAAACTGTTGTGGGCGGAGCCTCCGCTCAGGTAAGGCAGTCAGTCTCAGGCAACTTACAGTCCCGGAAGTCAGTTCATCCACCATACCAGGGCTGTGGAGAGCGCGTCGTCAGAAATGATTTGACCACGGCTTTTCTAATCGCCGCTGTGATCTGAAGGTGATCTGTGATCTGTAGAATCCATCATGGTGAACTCAGGTACGTGAGAGAAATTCTTCGGGAACCTCAGAGGACTGACTGGTTTCGGTGTGAAATGTTTAGGCGTTGTCTTTGCACCTGGAAACCTTTGAAACGCCTGAAATCCAAATCCTGCCTCTTTTTTCTTTCTTTTTTTTATCTTCCTCCTTTGGTTGATGTCTTTTAACTCTAAACGTGTTTTCTTTGAAAGCGCCTCTTGTGAGAGTGAAGGTTGAATTGAAGCTGGAATTGAATCGATATCGATTCTTTTCGTCTGGCGCTTCTGCAACTAACATTTGGAGAGTCTGTGCTGCTGGCATCTCTGTTTTCACAGTTGCATCACTTAAGTAATCGTCATTGTTGTGTTTTTGTATGTGTAAATTTATTATTTCTAAATTATACAGTAGTATTTGATAATATTTTGTTTTACTTTACATGGTACCATGTTAGGGTTCTATTTCAAGATTTTTATGCCTTTCCAATTCTCTCATTTTGTCCAAAAACTGGTCAAGTACTGAGTTGTAAAGCAGAAACACACACACAAGTGGTTTATATCTATAAATCTATTTATAAGATAATATCAGATATAGGACACAATGACTGGCCTTCCATCAAACCACTGGCAGGCCAAATAAAATGCCATCCGTAATCTTTATTTCTGGAGCTTTATATTGTTCATTCTATTCAATAACTAACCTATTATCAATCTAGCTACATCAGCTTTAAAATAAAAGCTGTAGACATTTAGTGTTTTGGTGATATGTCAGACATTATTATGACCAAAAACATTGCTTGTATTTTCACAGCCTTCACTCCCGAACGGAGAACCTGAGTATCTATCTGACACCAATTGACCCTTCAGGTTGGGTAGATGTGGTGCTGGGTGTTTGGATCCCCCACACCTGAGGCAGAGTGTTTTGTTCATGCTCACGATCTGGTTACATGCCATCCAGCTGCAGCTGTTTTGCATTTTCTTCTGTTGAAACCACAGAGCCCTGCTCACAGCAGAGTTGCTGATATGGATTTATTTTTTTATGTTGTGAATGCTGGATGCTTGCATTGCTTTTATAGGTTGCTCTTGTGCTGTAAATGGTACCACTATTTATTTCTAAGTAGCTGACATCAAATGAGTTATGAACCAAAATGTGTACATAATAACTTGCATGGCTTTTTGTGTAACACACTGGTTTACTGTTGAAATATTCTGCTTTTAAGTGATAGTTTAAAAATAATAAATAAAAAATACAGCCTGACAATCTAAACTTTTTTTCTCTGGATTCAACACTCCCCACTAATATTGGGAAGAGCAAAAAGTAAGAGACTGGCTAGTTTTGTTTCTTCTTCTGAATGTACTCTATAAATATTCAAATATTGAATTTTATTATGTGCTAAAGATCGTTTTGTTTTAAGGACTTTATTTTTTTACAAAATCAAACAGATTTTGCGTGTCTAGAAGTTACTTTCTCTTCCTGCAGGAATATGCTGCGCCAACCTCAAAGACAACAGAGCCCTGATGAAGATGGGGTTGACGCTGGTGCTGGTGGGCCACGTCAACTTTCTTCTGGGAGCCCTGGTGCACGGCGCCGTCCTCAGATACTTCATTGTTAAGATTAAGATCCGGACTATTATATACGCTGTGTCTAATGTCATTGCCATTGTGGAAGGTCTGATTGTAAGTTGGTTTAAACACACTGAAGTTTTTTTCCTTTGTTCTTTTGTTTGCGTCATTAAATATTTTTGCTGCTGGAAGTAAATTTGTGATTTTCATATGTCAGGAATGATGTTTCTGCTTCCTTTCTTTCAGGGTATTATCAGCGGGATAGTTGCTATTGTCCTGTCTAAGAACAAGAAAAACAAGACCCTGGTAAATACTTTTTCCCTCAGTTTGCCCCCACCTTCTCCCACCTCCTTCAGTCCACAAATGTTACCCACATGGACATAATTGTTGACACTCCTCTGTAAAAGCTGCAGTTGGTCACTTTTTACGATATGTCTTTACAGCATAATATAATACAGATAATCTATGAACAAATGGAGCTCCTCTGCCTTCATGTAATTCTGCCATTTGCAGAAATGCACCACTTGGTCAGAAACAACCAGTCAGACTAAGGAGGAGGAACTTTGCACTGCAAATCATACACGTGTACATGCTGCTTGCACCCCATCTCACTCTTTGCTGTGTCCTTCTCTAGAGCGGAGCCTTCTATGAAGGCTAGTGAGCATGGCCATCGATTAAAGGATTCATTTATCATTACGTTGCCTATTTGCTGCGGCAAATCAAGCAGTGCATACACAAGTATGATTGGCAGTGCTAATACTTACCTCCCGTCTCTAATTGTTTGTTTCTCAACATTTCTAAAAATGCTGGTCGGATTACAAGGAGGATTCAAAAGAGCTTAATGTTGTATCACAGATTACCTTTAAAAAAAGGCAATTTATGACTTTCATTGGTTGAATTTATGTTTTTATTACTTTCGTCAGTTTCAAGTCATTAAGGGGTGTGCCAAAAATCTTGTCTGTCTGCTTCTGTTAGAACCTGAATGTGTTTGGAGGTACAAAAGCGGTTTAAAGATGAACGTGTCAGTACAATATGCTAATCTTTTACAGAACAAAAACGCATGTGTGCGATCTGTAACATTGCTTTTAAATATTAAGGTTTATGCCTAACAAATGCCCTTCTGACTCTGTTCCTCTGACAGATGTGGGTTCTGTTGATCTTCAGCATCCTGGCAGGTTTCCTAGGAATTGCTGCTGCCTTGGGATTGTCATTTTCTTTAATTAAAGCCTTCATCCTCAGGAAGGAGCGTGTGCTTAAGAAATTCTGCCAATTCTTTGATGAAACCCCTGACCCTGCAGCCATCACAAACGAATGCCCCTTCGATCCTACTCGTATCTATGTAGGTACAATATTCGTCCATGTTTGATCAGTAACCCTTTATATCGAGATGAAATCGGTGTGTGAGAAATGTTGTCTTGTGTGTAAATTAAGGCAACCAGCATCATTCTTTGGATGCCTCTCATCATAATGTGCATCGTGGAATCAGTGTTCACCTTTCGCTGTTTTGCTGCCTGCACTTCCTTCCTGTACCTGTGTCCATGCAGGAAGAAACCGCTCCAGGCAAGGAGGGTAAGGTCCTATCAGGTGTTCTGCATTTACTGCAGAAATCCATGTGAATGCCGTAATACTTTTGGTGTTGCATTAAAAACTCCAGATCTGTACAGGATTGGCCCTTTTTCAGTTTTTTGATTCAGACTTACCTGCATAATTTCAAGAAATACTGTTTAAAAGTTTTAGGTGTGTCACCATTTCACTTTCTTTAGTGAAAATGTTGCTAGATTTTATTTATTTTCAATCTGGAATAGAATGCGCAGCGTTCCCTATACACTTGTACAGGAAATGCTGTACAAGTGTTTCTTGTACAACACTTGTTATCTATGTAAGTACAATATTCGCCCATGTTTGATCAGTAACCCTTCATATCAAGATGAAATCAGTGTGTAAGAAATGTTGTCTTGTGTGTAAATTAAGGCAACCAGCATCATTCTTTGGATGCCTCTCATCATAATGTGCATCATGGAATTAAATTAAAACTAAAATTTGAGCTTTTCTTACTTTGCATTCTTGTAATTACAGTACAAGAATGGTTGGTGTATTTCTGATGACTACACAATAACCAGTTTACACATTTGCTGCATTTTTTTTCTAGCATATGTAAAAATTAAATGAAGTTAACTCGTGAAAATTAGGAATCACTGAATCAATCATTGATTCATACAACTGTAACTTTTTTTTCTTACACTTTCAGGTTAAAATCCAGACAAGGGCTGAAACTCCACTGCCGATTCCAGAGGAAAAAGCCGACGAGCCGCCTGAAGAGCAAGATCAACTGCTGCATGGCACAGAGATGCAGAGTGACTGGGTCTAAACCAGCAAAAACATTTTTTCATCAAACAAGATGAAAAACTGAACAGAGAATGTTACAATTCAAATATTTTGATATATCTGGACTTGCATTTTACTATTTATGCCCATTAGTGGCATTTGTTTTTTATGATTTGATGGAATGCTGTTATGGTTCAAATGTTTTTCGCACTTTTGTACCGTTTTAAAATCTGCCTCATGTACCTTCAGTTCAAATGTCTGTTTCATTGTAAAAAGAAAACACATTTTCCATTCTTTAAAAAAAGATTTTAATACAGTTGAAACCTTAAAATGTTTAAAGAACTCACTTGTTTTCCGAATACAAATATATATACACAAATCAATCGAGACATCTGGCTTTCCTTTTCAGTGAACTTTAAGTCGTCCACAGACAAGTTTGTTTAAAGAAATGTGTTCAAAATGTGATCTCTTTAGTTTCTGAAAAATCCCTAGTTATTATGCAACTTAAAAGCACAAGCTAATTTAAGCAGAGCTGTAAAATATGTATAGAAATATGCATCTTGTAAATCTTGGTGGACAAGTTGCACGTTTTCTAGAAAAGGGACACATTTTTCTACATTATTCTGCTACAACTGCAAAGGCACATGACACAAGGGGATCAAATGACAAACAAAAAATTGACAAAACGTTCAATTACATCCAGGTATATAAAAAAGGGCACATGCTAAGCCATTTTTACAGATATTTTCACAACTCGAAAAGCAAATATAGTAAATAAAAAGATAAATTCGTACAAAACATACTAAAAATAAGTTTTCTGTCCAAACACGGAAAAGTTGAAAAGATTAAGAACAAATGGAAACCATTTAATCTCCACAGTCTTGAAATATACAGTTCTTTACCAGCTTTCATTTAGAAAAAAACAAACTTTAGGATCAGCTCTGATCTGATGTACTGTTGTCACAGGAAGTTCAGGACCTCAAGGTGTCTTGGGTTCCTCATTTGGCCTAAAGGATCCAGAGGAAGGAAATGATTAACACCTTCTGTTAGCCGCCTCCTGGCCGTCATGGTCAATGTGGTTGTACTGTGTTTTCTCACTTTGATGTGTCCATTTTTTCCTCCTCTGGTACCTTCTCCTCTTCTTTTACTTCTGTGAAAGATTTGAAATTACTTACTCAATGACTTGATTATTATTTAACAGGATGTGAGGATGACTACCTTTTGTTTCCTCTGTACTTTTCTTCTTCTCCTCTGTCTCCTTCTCTCCTTCGGTCTTGGTCCTTTTGGCTTTCTTGTAGCTGGCTGCATTCCTGCGACCGCCTTCGCCTTCATCCTCTGAGTCCGAGAACTCTTCTTCGCACGCTATCCTTTTGTCGTGAGCACGAACTGGACGTTTGTCAAAGGGAGATATGAATTAAGAGATGCTGCTGCTGGTTCTCCACAACAACTGGATGAGAGGTGATGCAGAATGAATGTGGAAGAAACTGAGATATGATTTTACTAGATATGCGTTTGTTTGGATCGTCCTCTTCGTCGCCACTGTCCTCCTGCACGGCGTCCTCTGGGATGGCTTGCATCTGGACTCCGGGGGCGTGAGGCAACATGCGGAGGTTCTCAAACAAGCGCTGCCTGAAAGGGGTGACACAGGAATACTTGAGCTCAAAGAACTTCTCCGTTCTCTCTGACCAAAAGCAGACAAATACTCTAAATATGAAACACATTTGATGAACTCACTTGATCTTCTCCAGGTAGTCGTTTGTGTTCTGATTGGTCATGTTGGAGGGGCTGATGTGCAACTTGAAGTCTGGTCCAAAATACTCAAAGTAGTCATTGTATGGGAGCTCTGTCAGTTTGAGAGAAAATATTGACAAAATAATTTATTATTTCATCTGGACATGAGCATCTGATTGGTTCCTTCACAACATCTGAGTTGAATATTTTCAAGGGCCAACTTGAAACACACTGCTTCCTAGTGTGTCTTTATGGGAAAACGCTGAAATACATCAGGAAAAATAAAGCCTTACAGATTATTTTCTTATTCCATATTTATTTTACATCTTCTCACACATGTTTTGACGTTGACACAATGAGTTCCATTGGTAGATCACATAAAGGAATTGGGAGCAAAGAATTTCTAACAGGAAAAATTGCATACCATTGGGGATGGAGCTGTCAAGGGCCACTGCAGTCTCAAACGTCCAGCAACGAGCCACGTTCCGGATCGTATAGCCGCCTCCTCCCAGCATCAGCAGCGGCAGGTTGAAGCTCTTAATGTACTCCACACACTTTGCATGGCCTAAGCAGACATAGTGGAAGAATGATATAAAAAAAAATACATTCAAACAAGACTCTGCGTGTCTCATCTGAGTTTCATAATTTTGCCTTTAATGGTAAGGTTGAAGCAGCCCAGTCTGTCCCCTGATAGAGAGTCAGCTCCGCACTGGAGGACCACAGCACTGGGCTGGTACATCTCCATCACCTTCGCCATGATCTACAGAAGAAAACAAACGCAACAGCAACAGACACTCAATCATTATCATTAATTTTAATTATTTTTTGCTTTGAAGAACATCTACACTATGACTTTAACGGTACTTTATTAACTCACAGGCTTGAAAATGGCTTCATAGGACTCATCATCAATCCCATCCCTCAGTGGATAATTTACAGCATAATATTTACCCTTTCCAGCACCAATATCCTTAAGAGAACAAGAAAAGCAGCATTTTATTACTACAGCCCTCTTGACATGTTTACATGTATCGCTGTTAAAGGCATACCCTGAGGTCACCGGTGCCTGGGAAGTACTCTCCATACTTGTGGAAGGACACAGTCATGACACGATCTGTGGTGTAGAAAGCCTCCTCCACACCGTCTCCATGGTGGATGTCAATATCTATATACAGAACTCTCTGATGGTATCTATAAAAGAGAAAATATTGTTTAATTCCAAATGTTGGTATGCATGTTATGTAGAATACTGTGACTGGAATCACAAGAAGCTGGAAATGTTATTATTACACATGCTGAGTATCAACACTCACTTCAATAACTCCAGGATAGCCAGGACAATGTCGTTGACGTAGCAAAACCCAGAGGCTTCAGACTTTTTGGCGTGATGAAGCCCTCCGGCCCAGTTGATCGCGATGTCCGTCTGCTGTTTGTTCAACTTCACGGCACCGGCTGACACACAGTGAGAAAGTGAGAATTTAAAACTTTTCTAAAACAAAGGGTTACCGGAAGACGGACTTACCGACGGAGCCCCCTGCTGAGAGCTGGCAGAACTCAAACAAGCCATCGAAGACCGGACAGTCCTCACCCACATTAACTGCAAAACACAACATCAGAGACATCCGTATTGTTCAGACCGGGCACAGCATCGGTCCTGAATGATCCAATCGCACTAAATAAGCTACTAAAATTTTTTATGAAGCTGGTTTGCTTCAAAACCATCTTCATAGGTGGCATGCGATACTTGTTACTTAATTTAGCAGCATGAACACAATCCATCCTCAGACACAAATAATTCCACATCTCTGTCACCAGACTACACGCTTTTTCTAATTACTCTAAGAAGGTTGAATACAAGGCATAAATGGCTTCGTAAGATCTACTTTCTCTAAATCGTTCAAGATGCAAAACAATAGTGGAAAGAACGTACATCTCTGCATCTGTTTGCTGTATTCTGACATGTTGTCTGGCCTGATGGAGCGCAAGAACCGGATGTAATCATCACTGTGATACTTGGTCATCTCTTCTCCGCTGGCTTTGTGTGGACGCTGCAACGACAAAAATAAAGTCATTGATTATGTCCCGGGACAGAACCTCTCTGAGCAACCAAACAGCATAAACCCAGGTTGCTTCATTCCACATACATAGATCTCCATCTTTCTGTAGAGCCCATAGTTGAGCAGTAGGTTGTGGGTCATGCGGATTCGGTGAGGCTTCATGGGATGGCCCTGGCCATAGTAGTAATTTCCAACATCACCTGAAGTGAGGAAAAAAAAAAAAAACAAACAACACAAAATCTATCAGTAAATAAACATCTGTTGAAATCTGCTCACTATACTATCGGCGATACTCTAAATAGAAGAGGGAAATGATGTAAAGTTACTTACTGGCATTTTAACACCAGTTTACGTTGATTTGTTTGTTTCCAACAACAAACGCCAAATTTTCGAAGGTAGAAAATTTAGTCTTTTCCCTGAGCAAACTCATTTTATTGACAATAACCGTGCATCATGCGTTAGCGTGCTAGCTGATTGACTGGGTTTTTTTAATATCAAAGTATAAAAGCCGCTTCAAAAATGCATGGAATTGTATTTGAAGAGCCATCTTTTGCTACGGCCAAATCACGTTTTTAGAGTTTAAGCAAAACTATATATGCGAGGAGAGGAGTTCAAGCTGCGCCTCGAGCTAGCTACGTTAGCTTAGGTTAGCAAGAGGTAAAATTGATAGATGCAAACTCTGTCGGATTTGATCAGTTATCGAGTCTACTTATGAAACTGCAACTATGGGTGTACTTACCATCATAGTAGTAGCAAACTTTTTTCTTTGTGCCTTGGGCGGTAAATGCCATTTTAGTCGAATTTTTTGGATGGTTTCAACCTCAGTGCAGGAGAGGAGACAACAGCGACACGTTTGGTCAATGGGATGTCCGCAGCTATCCATAGGGGGCGCCAGAGTGACACAAAACGGCTTCACACAGAGATGACGCTTTACGTTTACTACGTGCATAAATAGTCTGTTTGCATCTAACAGATAACATAGCACTAAGCATGTCTTTCCTGCATAGGGGGATATAGTAACTTGATACAATTACTTATTTACTCAAATTATGTTTCTCCATCTGATGACGTCATCAGTTATTTAATATTTAAGTAGCCTTTTATACAAAATAAATTTTTATTCCAACTTGAGTCATTTATTCGATGACTACTTTTTATTTTTTTTCATTGAGTAAAAAGTCGTTTCACTCTTAACTTGCTTACCATTTCTGGGTGCTTTACTTAACAATTTTGTCTCATAGAAACCACTTTACTTCTGCCTATTTATCTCATTTCAATTACTCTTCCTCTTTTGAGGTGCCTTGTTCATCAAGTAAAAGTATTTGAGGGTCTTCTTTAATCTAAGATCATGAACCACAGCTACAGTATATTATTATATTGATCAAAATGACATCTGAAGGTGAAAGGGGGAAGTTTCAAAGCCTGAGAAGCAACTGTGAAGCATAGGGGCAGCGTCATGTTGTCTAAGTGTTTTACAGGATGGATTGATTCACTTCACAAAACAGATAGCATCAATAGGAAAACATGTCTGACTTAAAAGAAAAGAAAAAATCTGTAACTCCAGATGCTCTCTCAATCCTGGCAATAAGAAAATA